CACACACACACACACTAGTGTTCTCATCCATCATGGTTTTCCTTGATTTAGTAGTACGCTACACATAAATTTCAAAGGTTCTCCTGATAGACTTTTAGCCATTCAGGGCATGCGCTTCCAATTGAGCGACTATAATTGCCTCCCCCAAGCCGTAGAAATCCCTTGTGAATAGGTTTATACTTTCTCGACCAGCAAGTTAGAGTTGCATTTGTACGAATGGAGTCACATATGGACTCTGGTCCTTATGTCCTGTGAAGTCTCTTATGTGCCCAAAAAGAAAACGGAAAGACAATTTATAGTTACTCCTGGAGAAAAACCAGGAACAACAGTGAGCTTCCTGATCCAGTATGTAGTTACTCTAGGAGAAAAACATGGGACAGATATTTGCAGCTGGACCCCAACAAATTGATTGTGGACTACTGCCAACCTTTCGTTAATATTACTTGATTCGAGTCTCGAATAGTTATTTATTTTTAGATTTAGAGTGTTTAGATGTTTCAGGGATGTTTAAGGAGACAACTGCATTTGGGTTAACATTTGAAGCAAAAGTAATCGTGAAGACATATCGAAACTGGATACCTAAAACCAAAAAATCCAAAACAGGTTATTTAATTTAATCCTAAAATGTGCTGTCCTTAAACAGGTGTTCAGAAAACCATGCAATTTTGCTAAACAAATTTCAAGGTAAAGGACAACAAGCTTATTAATTAGTATGACTATCCAAACACCATGTAGTTTTGAAAATAGTTTCCTGCTGAGGAGATGACATATCCAGTCGCGCATAACATTAGGGAAATCCCTTTAAACACAGGATTGCTTATTTAAGTTCTACCAAGAAAGATGTCGTAAAACTTAATGTGCATCCACAAAGATTGTGGTGCAGATATAGTTCCACAATGATAGGAAATCTATTGGAGTGGAAATCATAAATGGAAGACTTTTGTACAGAACTTTGTACGGTATGTGAAGGGATGTAATGCAATATGCACATTTTGATAATTATNGGGGGGGGGGGGGGGGCGCGGCTTTGTAATTGCATGACTTTTGGATATTTTGCTAATGGTGAGTGGGATGATTTAGGTTGCTGAGACTGCAAGAAAGCTTGGGATATTAGTGATTGCTGATGAAGTTTATGATCATCTTACTTTCGGGAGCAATCCATTTGTTCCCATGGGGGTCTTTGGATCAATTGCTCCTGTTATCACGGTTGGGTCTATATCGAAGAGGTGGATTGTTCCGGGTTNTTTTTTTTTTTCTTCTTTCCAGATTGCCAATTGCATTACGGGTTTTCTCAATATATCCTCTGATCCTGCAACCTTCATTCAGGTTTGTAGTTCATGATACTGTTTGAATAACATGAACATTACTCTTATGTAGTCTGTTGTCATCTACTTCAGAAATTTGTTAATAGCATTTTGAAGTTGTTTCTTATCTCACCTACACCTTGACCTTCGGATGCAGACACTGACGATACAAGCTGATCATTAATCCGCTATTTTCTCACTCTAATTCTGGGTACACCGTTGTTATTTATTCTTGTCATCAGGGGGCAGTTCCACAAATCCTTGAGAAAACTAATGAGGATTTTTTCTCAAAGATCCTTACCATTCTGAAAGAAGCTGCAGACTTTTGTTATCATGCAATCATGGAGATCCCTTGCATAACTTGCCCAAGCAAACCCGAAGGATCTATGTTCGTAATGGTAAGGGTTAGTTTGTTTAAGATTGGTTCTGGTTCTAAACAAAAAGTGTCAAAGTTTAACAGTTACCGTAAAAATATTCTTATTTCAGGTGAAACTAAATCTCTCACTTCTGGAAGGCATTACTGATGATGTGGACTTCTGTGTTAAACTGGCAAAGGAGGAATCCGTGATAGTTATGCCTGGTAAAAATGAACAATTTAAGTTTCTGAAGTTTGTTTAGTTATACAACAACTGACACTTTCTTTTTCTTTATTGACCTTTCAACCTTATAAGTTATACCATCCTTTGCAAAGTGTCGTTTTTCATCCTCTTTCTGCTTGTTAATCAGTTTTAAAAAACTATGATAATATCTGTTTCTATACCTTTTGTTTTGTAAATATGCAAAATTTTTGGTCCTCCCGTTGTTTGTTAGCAATGATCTCATGGAACAAAGCAAACTTATTCCCTTATATGTGTCCCCCTCCCAGACAGCCTTGTAGCTAAGAGAATGATTCTGCTCAGTGTGGAGGCTGAAAGCTCAACTAGAGGTGTAAGGAGTGAAATTATCACTTCATATACCTTCGATTGCACTACTCCATCATAAGTGGTATAGGAAATTAGGAATTCATTAACTTCAGACAGAATCTAAGTCATCAGAAGTGATTCTACGCAAAACAGAGTTATTGNTCTGATCCTGCAACCTTCATTCAGGTTTGTAGTTCATGATACTGTTTGAATAACATACTAATCTTATAATTGTTGAAATGCTATCAGAACTTATACATCGTAATTGTCTAATACTGGACCTTTCTTGGAGCATTCCCTTGAATGGGTAGAGGAACCAGATATTCAGGTTTGATGACTCATTGTAGAAGAAATGTTGAATGATTTAAAAAATAAAGGAAACTCTATGTGCTCAATTTGTTTGTATGTAACATGAACATTACTCTTATGTAGTCTGTTGTCATCTACTTCAGAAATTTGTTAATAGCATTTTGAAGTTGTTTCTTATCTCACCTACACCTTGACCTTCGCATGCAGACACTGACGATACAAGCTGATCATTAATCCGCTATTTTCTCACTCTAATTCTGGGTACACCGTTGTTATTTATTCTTGTCATCAGGGGGCAGTTCCACAAATCCTTGAGAAAACTAATGAGGATTTTTTCTCAAAGATCCTTACCATTCTGAAAGAAGCTGCAGACTTTTGTTATCATGCAGTCATGGAGATCCCTTGCATAACTTGCCCAAGCAAACCCGAAGGATCTATGTTCGTAATGGTAAGGGTTAGTTTGTTTAAGATTGGTTCTGGTTCTAAACAANTTTTCTCAAAGATCCTTACCATTCTGAAAGAAGCTGCAGACTTTTGTTATCATGCAATCATGGAGATCCCTTGCATAACTTGCCCAAGCAAACCCGAAGGATCTATGTTCGTAATGGTAAGGGTTAGTTTGTTTAAGATTGTTTCTGGTTCTAAACAAAAGTGTCAAAGTTTAACAGTTACCGTAAAAATATTCTTATTTCAGGTGAAACTAAATCTCTCACTTCTGGAAGGCATTACTGATGATGTGGACTTCTGTGTTAAACTGGCAAAGGAGGAATCCGTGATAGTTATGCCTGGTAAAAATGAACAATTTAAGTTTCTGAAGTTTGTTTAGTTATACAACAACTGACACTTTCTTTTTCTTTATTGACCTTTCAACCTTATAAGTTATACCATCCTTTGCAAAGTGTCGTTTTTCATCCTCTTTCTGCTTGTTAATCAGTTTTAAAAAACATGATAATATCTGTTTCTATACCTTTTGTTTTGTAAATATGCAAAATTTTTGGTCCTCCCGTTGTTTGTTAGCAATGATCTCATGGAACAAAGCAAACTTATTCCCTTATATGTGTCCCCCTCCCAGACAGCCTTGTAGCTAAGAGAATGATTCTGCTCAGTGTGGAGGCTGAAAGCTCAACTAGAGGTGTAAGGAGTGAAATTATCACTTCATATACCTTCGATTGCACTACTCCATCATAAGTGGTATAGGAAATTAGGAATTCATTAACTTCAGACAGAATCTAAGTCATCAGAAGTGATTCTACGCAAAACAGAGTTATTGGGACAAATATAGTAATGATAGTAATTTGAGGAACTGCTAAAATTGACTTGGTCCTTGTGCTTTTATTTAGTTTGTTCCCGAACACTTGTGGTTTTACATCAGGTAAACTAACTTGTGTGTTACTTTCTGTTATCCATTAAGCAAAAGTTCAAATGGTCTCTATTTATCCTGTGCCTTTTTTCCCTCATATGTCTTATCCTCAAATTCGATGAGGCGAGGGATAAACATTTTCAGAGCTCTTCAGCTATTCCATGATTCTGTCATTGATACGGATTTTATTCTCTAGACAGGCTGGTCTTGCATATATATCCCGGGCCTTGTATAGTTTTCACACTTGTTAAAGCCCAAGTAGTAAGGGAAATGTTACTTACAAAGACTCAAAAGCAGTATCTAAAGCGATGTCAATTGTGAGGGTTACATATTTCTTATATAAGCTTTATATAAGAAATAACTTTGGAAATAGGCAGTCTTAGTAAAAGCTTTATGCACCAGGCTGACATATTCAAGATAATATGAAACTTGTTCTGTAGGAAATGCATCTGCGGGAATGTTCCAAGCAACAGAGATGAAACCTTTAATGACATGCTCCCTTTGCAATTGGTCTGGCGAAGATGATTAAAATTTCTTATATGGTTTGATGATGATATTAAAAAGGATTCTTATTTAGTATATTTGTGAATTGTATGCAATAGGGAAAACTTCACTAAAAGGCGTCCATTCGCTCTTTTTGTGTGCTTTCATGCAGGATAGTGTTTTGCATACCTATAAGAAGAGCATTCAATTAGTTTTTCAAATTTTGAAAGTCAAAAGGTGGCTTGTTAGATTTAAAATGACGTCTGATGACACAATGTTCATTGCAGGGGTAGCTGTAGGACTCAAGAATTGGCTTCGCATAACTTTTGCCATTGAGCCATCGTCTCTTAAAGAAGGCCTCGAAAGGATCAAAGCTTTCTATCAAAGGCATGCCAAGAAACAATAAAATCTATTCCTCGCATTCTCAGAATCAGGTGAAGAATAACTCCTGTAATTTCGCGATGTCCCCCATCGGAGACATGGGTTCTGTTCCAAGGATTCAAGTGGTGATGATCATCAACTCTGCGTTGGGATCACAGGTCATCTGAAATGGTGGCATAATAATGCTTCTTGTTCAATAAATTTGATAAACCTTTGGGAGGAATTATTGTCTAACTTATAAACAAGTTTTAGGATGTAAATCTGTATTGGTGATGTATTCAGCTCTTTTCTTTAACTAGTAATGCAGAACGTGCTTTTCGTGAATAATTTTTGTATACACAATATTAATAAAAATTATTAGGTATATGTGTGCTTACATTAAATATTATATTAAGTTTATTAAAAATCATATTTTTATCGCTCGTATTATATTATAAAATTCAAAAAATATTTTCTGTTTTCAGCAATTTGTTGTTCTAATTATAGGAAAAAATATAAAAATAATTCATTTGAAATTCGTTTGATTTGGCTTCAACTGGAATAAAATAACAATAATTGTCAATATTCTTATGTCAATAGGGATAAAATATAGGGTTAATAACATTCTGAGTCTCTAAAATATTCATTTTTTTTGTCAATTTCATCATTAATATATGAATTTTATTAATTTTGTCCATAAAATATTCAATTTTTATTTAAATGGTCCCAAACTAGACGATCCATTAAATTTTTTTAATAAAGTGACCACATGTCATTCCATAATTTAGTATCACGTGATCACTTCTATCAAAAATTTAACATATTGTTTGTGTAAACAACATTTAAACCATTAATTTTAGAGATCAAATTGACAAAATTGATACAATAAAGACCAAACTGATAAAACATGTATATTTTAGAGACTAAAAGTGTTATTAACTATACAATATAATATACTACTCTATAATATATATTTTAAAAGAATATTAAAATTCTAAAATTCAAATTTTACTTAAAAATACACTATTTTTTTTTATATAAACTTTTAATAAAACATGAAAATTTTAATGTGATTCAAGAATTATATTGATTTAACATAAATTATTTTTTAAAAAACTAGATAAAAGATTATTTTTTATTTTATAAATGCAATGGTTAAAATTTTAGATAAAAAAATATACATATATAAGCATAATGTTATTTTTATATTTGAAATGAGTAATGTTAGATTGATGAAAGTATTAAAGATTTTTTGAACACTTTATTAAAAACTGTAGTGATGCATATATTTTTTAAGGACAACGTAGTCAATTAAAATTTTTTATAGATACTGATATTTATACATAACGAATAGAGAATTAAAAAAGAGATATTATAGGTAATTTGAAGATTTAAACAAATAAGTATATGATGGTAATTTAAATATTTAACTACGGAAGGATAATATGGTATTTAAAATTTTTTATAAGAGTAAAATAGTAAATCAAAAAATTTTCATTCTTAGGTATTTTTATTAGTAGTATAGATAGAAAAAAAAAACATATATAGACATAATGTTATTTTTTTATTTGAAAAAAGTAATGATCTATTGATAGACTTTTTGAACACGTTATTAAAAATTATAATGATGCATATATTTTTTTAAGGGTTGCGCTATAAATTAAAAATTTTAATAAATATTGATATTTATACAAAGATAATAGAAAATTAAAAGAGATATTAGAGCGTAATTTAAATATTTAAACACATAAGGTTGCGATTGTAATTAAGATATTTAATCATGAAAAGATAATGTGATATTTAAAATTATTTATAAAGGTAAAATAGTGAATCAAAATTTTTTTCCTTAAGGTACTTTTATTTGTAATAGAGATGTACATTTTGTATTTCTCTTGTGTAGGCGTTCCCCGTGACATTTTTTATTATCAATGAAAATCATCATCGAATAGACCATTTAAATGAAAAGTGATCGAAATTTTTTGGATCAAAATCAATGAAAATCAAAGTTACATGGAAGGTGGTCAAGTAGGTATATGTTAAAAGTTTGAGTTTTAAAGTTTATATTGCAGTTCAATAGTTGACCGCTATATTAGTCTAGTTAAGTGTTACAGCCGAGCAGCGGATGATATGCTTTGCTTTGCCTATCTCGTGTCTACAACGGATTAAGCAAACAAAGATTAGGTGGTTACTTCGAGGGAACCAAGACTTTAGATAATGATCAACTTGACTATTTTATTCCTCTCAAAACTCTTAAATAGACTCCAGTACAATGGTTCTTCCCAAAAAAATAGAAAGACTCCAACAAAATAGGAAGACTTAAAACAACCCATAACTCACTCAACTGGACTAAAAAATATCAAAACAAAAAAATAATAAAAGTCCTAATACGAAGATTGTTTTTTGAGTGTAATGTAACGTCCCGGTTTTCAGGGATACATTACTTGATTAAATCAATCGATCATAATAAACTACAAATAAATCTCCGAATACAAGGCCAGATCTCTAATTGCCTCAATAAATTTATAATCACAATTTTGATCTCCAAATAACAATAAAAATTTAAAATTATATCAAGATTCATCCATTTTCGATTCCTCAAATATCAACTTTGGTTATTCCATTCGAGATTATCTTGAAAAAAAAATATTAAAAGCGGGAAAGTATGCACTATGATAGGAAATAATATACTCAACAAGAAAAATATGAATGATCAAATACTAAATAATTCAGATGATAAGAATCATGAATAACGAAATCAAGAATCACATTTGACAAGCCACATAACTCAACTGCTATTAAACTATTTAGTTCTTCTTGATGACCTGACAAGTGACATTTGGACATTTAAATTGCATACTCATATTGAACCATTACACCTTGCAGGGTTGTAATCACAATCGCACCTCGTAGGGACATAATCACATTTCACCAATAATGCCCCAAGTACACTTCGTACAAGTACCAATCAATTTCAAAGTATTTAGCTCAACGTACAGATCAACCGATCAAATTGTCAGAATTTTGAATCAATCAAAATAATCAATAGGAATACAAATATCAGATAATCAAAAGATACTCTTTGCAAAGAGGTTTAAAATACAGAAACATATTGTATACTATCTCGTACCTCAAAATTATTAATAGCTTCAATAGATAAGAAACTTGAAGTACCCCGAACAAAACACTTTAATTTGGTAATGATCGAAACTAAAATTTATTATTTAATTTTTAACCCCAAAATTTCATAAATTTCTATCCATCTCTCCGTCTCTTTCTTTCTCTCTCTCTTTCTTCTTTTTTTTTCCCTCATGCTTGCTCATTGTTTGAAAGAATATTTATAGTCAATTTGTTGTTTGGCCTCCGGGGCTTTGCCGTCATTTGGCGTTGGCGATGCATACATTGCATCACAAGACACTTGTCAAAATTTTTCTTTTTTTTTCCTCCTAAATCTTAACATGACACTTGTTCATAAGATTTGTATATTAATACTTTAAACATTTAATTTTTAAAGTGATATCCAACTCAAAATGTGACCTATATATAGTTATTTGACTCATTTTCACACTAAAAATTTATATTTCAAATCCATTTATTTATTTGAAATTTTTAAAAAAAAATTAACTCTCAATTATATAAAATCATAATTAACGTCCTAATTATCAAGTTAGCAATTAATTCATTTTTTTACGGGTTATCACACGTAAGATCTCTTCCCCCACCCCCANTTTATATTGCAGTTCAATAGTTGACCGCTATATTAGTCTAGTTAAGTGTTACAGCCGAGCAGTGGATGATATGCTTTGCTTTGCCTATCTCGTGTCTACAACGGATTAAGCAAACAAAGATTAGGTGGTTACTTCGAGGGAACCAAGACTTTAGATAATGATCAACTTGACTATTTTATTCCTCTCCAAACTCTTAAATAGACTCCAGTACAATGGTTCTTCCCAAAAAAATAGAAAGACTCCAACAAAATAGGAAGACTTAAAACAACCCATAACTCACTCAACTGGACTAAAAAATATCAAAACAAAAAAATAATAAAAGCCCTAATACGAAGATTGTTTTCTGAGCGTAATGTAACGTCCCGGTTTTCAGGGACACATTACTTGATTAAATCAATCGATCATAATAAACTACAAATAAATCTCCGAATATAAGGTCNGTTTTCTGAGCGTAATGTAACGTCCCGGTTTTCAGGGACACATTACTTGATTAAATCAATCGATCATAATAAACTACAAATAAATCTCCGAATACAAGGCCAGATCTCTAATTGCCTCAATAAATTTATAATCACAATTTTGATCTCCAAATAACAATAAAAATTTAAAATTATATCAAGATTCATCCATTTTCGATTCCTCAAATATCAACTTTGGTTATTCCATTCAAGATTATCCTGAAAAAAAAATATTAAAAGCGGGATAGTATGCAATATGATCGGAAATAATATACTCAACAAGAAAAATATGAATGATCAAATACTAAATAATCCAGATGATAAGAATCATGAATAACGAAATCAAGAATCACATTTGACAAGCCACATAACTCAACTGCTATTAAACTATTTAGTTCTTCTTGATGACCTGACAAGTGACATTTGGACATTTAAATTGCATACTCATATTGAACCATTACACCTTGCAGGGTTGTAATCACAATCGCACCTCGTAGGGACATAATCACATTTCACCAATAATGCCCCAAGTACACTTCGTACAAGTACCAATCAATTTCAAAGTATTTAGCTCAACGTACAGATCAACCGATCAAATTGTCAGAATTTTGAATCAATCAAAATAATCAATAGGAATACAAATATCAGATAATCAAAAGATACTCTTTGCAAAGAGGTTTAAAATACAGAAACATATTGTATACTATCTCGTACCTCAAAATTATTAATAGCTTCAATAGATAAGAAACTTGAAGTACCCCGAACAAAACACTTTAATTTGGTAATGATCGAAACTAAAATTTATTATTTAATTTTTAACCCCAAAATTTCATAAATTTCTATCCATCTCTCCGTCTCTTTCT